TGCTTAGTGAGCTGTCACCTGATTGACAACCATGTCCTGGAACCTTCTAGTTGGTTCTCTACTATTCCGTAGATACTCCAGCATACATCTAATCTATATCTAATCGCTATCCGATAAGATAAGATAGGTGCACGCTTATTCTGGAATATTTTCGAAAAACTGTGACAACAATACACCATATTTGATGCCAAAATGGTGGCTTTGACTTGGGGCATAAAAGCTGCCTTGGAGTTTGTACTGGATGATTGCACCCACCTGGTACTCTGCACGGACAATGCTGGGTCATTGAACAAAATACTCAACTGCAAGATGGGCCCTAGCCAATTGGTGTCTGTTCTCATGGCAGAATCTGTGAAACAGTTCCTTGAGAAGAGTGAGCAACATCATATTACACTCCTGTGGGTACCATTCCACAGAGACATACCTCAAAACAAGTTCGTGGATGTACTTGCAAAGGAGGCTCTCGTAGGGGAGCAGCCTGATTTTGTGTCTCATGCCAGGGTGATGGTGGACTGCCTCACCAGGGCAAAACAGAAATGAACCAAAACATATCGGTCTCACAAATATAGGGGGCAGCACATGTGGGTGCTGTGGAAAAAACAACCCCCTCACCCATACAGCAAAGTTGTCATATTCATTATACACTCTTGGTAAAGACAACCAGGAGATGGTGCAAACGTGCAGAGTGTTAACTAACCATTTCCCCTGCAGTTTGTACCAGTCTGAATACCACATACCAGGACCTTTGAATTGCCCTTGCTCCGGGGTGATGGAGGACAGGGACCATATTCTATTTGAATGCCCCTTGTGGATACACCACAAAGCCGGATGGCTTTTACATTATGCACCGAATGATCTGAGACAAGCGCAGGTTCGGCGTCAGTGTGGGTGGACGGAGGACAATGTTCTCATTTTCCTCAAGCTCAACCCTATGGTTGCAACATTTGAGTGGGCGGAGATTCTTGCTCAAGCCAATACAGATCGGGAAAACAGCCGTTCTTTGTCAGTCACCAATGCCCTATCATGTGCACATATCATCTGGTGTGCCGTTGCGTTCAGAAGTTATTGCACAAAACACTGCCTTACGGAGGACAAGACAATACCTGGGACCAAACACTGGAACCGGTTCAATATATATTACAGGCCCGATCTTATCGTGGCTCGCATGGTGGAGTCATGGAAGGGCAAACCCAACCAATACCCACCTCCCGTGGCCCTGGAGGACGTTAACGATCACGTACCTTACATCTTCGATCACACACAGGAGACCAATGTGGGGGCGGACGAGTCTGGGTGAATGCCGCCCGTGATGTTTCATTGAGCTTAAATTTTTATTTTCGCAAATCTAATTGGTGTGGGGCCAACACGCTACAAGTTCTCAAACCTACCGCGCTCAGTAGGTTCATCTGAAATGGCATTTTATTACTGGAGAGGTATAGTCTCTGCTTGACCATAAGGGCGACCAGTGAGACGTGATTCATGCTGCGCCCAGTATGACGCCCTCCGTTTTTTGGAGATTCCCGCCCGCCGAGCTGATTCGGAGGCTGATGGAGCTCAGGGGGTCGACAAAAAAGAATTATATATCTGGCGGGTGGAGGAAATAGGAGTGCGCACTCTCCTTCTCACACCTCAAGGATCCCACCAGGTATGCTATTCTCAGAGAGCGTACTCTCTTTCGTAGCTAACCAGTGGATCGCGCCAGATCCCTTTTCGCATAGAAAGTAAATAAATTTACGATCTGACGAATCAATGAGTACACAAAATGTCGTTACCTCTCCTGGAATGACTGAAACCTCGGCCGCCATCAAGATCCAACAGTCCCTCTTGGACCTCATTGAACAGTGACGATGGAGAACAATCAGTCAAGCGAAAGCGACAATGTTACTCGGACAGCGGCTCATCTCAGGAGAGATGCAGCTCACTGAGTTGCAGCTTGAAAGCACACTGGAGGGATACCTCGTGCGACTTGATAAAGTCGAGGCTCATGACAGAGACAATACGGCACCCCAGCCATCCGGCGACGGAGATGCCCCAGACCAGACCACAAATAGAGGAGATGGAAATGAAGGAGCGGAATCAACCCCTGTTGGCGCGACTAAGCGACGGGCGCGGGACATGGAGGAAGAAGATGAGGTTGAGTTGTATCGAGCCTGTAAGCGACCCAACCCATCGCTCTACGCCTGGGCAGCCGAGAGCTTCCTCAGAGAAATGGTCATCGACCCGGGAACCTGGAAGACATTGGAACTCATCAGAGAATACTCAAAGGATATCAAATATGCGCGAGATTCACTCACCTGCACTATTGGCGCACCTGAGTTCCCCAAAGGAGAGTGGCTCAATGTCCTTGCTGGCAATGCCGTTGACCTCGATCATGTCCTCACGGGAGAGTACTCCAGTACTGCCGAAAGAAAGGAAGTCGGGAAGGTTGGGTCTTTGGAATTCACCATTCCAAGCACTACCCCCAAACAAAAGGTCCGCGACTCAAGTGAATGGCTGCTTGCTTGGCAAAAGACTTTGGATGCTGTCAGCTTTGCCTTCCCACACCGAAAGCTTGAACTCCAGCTCTACAGACAGAGTATCTTCCGGCAGTTCAAAGCAATTGCATCCCAGTATCACGGAAGAGTCATCGAGTTTGATCGCGCCATTAGAAAGAGAGTGGGAGCTAAATGAGAACTCATGCTCACCAACAGCTCGGCTTTCTCAGACCTCCACACCCAGTACATTGATTCATGTGGAGCAAATATTGCCAGAAGCTCTGGAGGAGGAAGCCGAAACTCCCGTTTTGGCCGAACAGGAGAACATGCTTCGGGAAAGGCTTCAGCAGAGGAAACTTGTGACTGGTGGAATGCAGGGAAATGTAACAAAACCAGAGAGCAGTGTCGCTTCAAGCACAACTACGCCAAATGTGGACAGCGTACCCATACCGCACGTGAATGCACCACTTAGGGATATGAATGTTCGACGACCTTGTTACCGGAGGAATTGGATCTGGGCAGAGCATGATGGGTATCCTCGTCAAATGGTTGCTCAAGCCTCTCTTTCTTTGCCTCCCATACCTGAAGTACCTGAAGAAGAGAAGTCAGACTTTCAAGTCACAACTACTTTGGATTTATACTCTCACCTCTTCACTGTGATCACTCCAATCAATGTTGATCGCTTTGAATCCCTGCTCGAAAGTCATCCCAACCAACCTTTTGTTAAGTCAGTCTGTCATGCACTCCGTGAAGGTTTTTGGCCCTGGGCAAATACCATGTGTTCTCGTTATCCTACAGGTTGGGAGGAATTGCGCCCACCTCCTGTTGACGAGCACATCAGGCAGTTTCTACGGGACTAATGTGCAGAAGAGGAACAAAAAGGGCGTTACTCTAAACTGTTTGAATTTTTGCATGATGGGATGTACTGCATGCCCGTACACGCTGATAAGACTCTGCTGCTTCTAGGCTCGGAAACGGTTGTTCTATA